AGGGGGGGGGGATACAAGATTGGGACGATTGGAACATAAGATTTGTAGGAATGGGACACAAGATTGGTACATAAGATTGGGAGGAATGGGACACAAGATTGGTACATAAGATTGGGAGAAATGGGACACGAGATTGGGACATAAGATTGGGAGGAATGGGAGGCAAGATTGGGACATAAGATTGGGAGGAATGGGACACAAGATTGGGATACATGATAGGGGAGATTGGGAGGATTGGGAGGATTGAGACACACGATTGGGACACACGATAGGGACATGTGATTGGGGGGATTGGGACACATTGGGACACAAGATTGGGACACGAGATTGGGACACAAGATTGGGACACATTGGGACACAAGATTGAGAGGATCGTGACACAAGAATTGGATACATCGGGACACAGGATTGAGACACAGGATTGGGACACGAGATTAGGACACGAGATTGGGAGGATTGGGACACGAGATTGGGAGGATTGGGACACAAGACCGGGAGGATTCGAGGATTGGGATACAAGATTGGGACACAAGATTGGGAGGATTGGGACACGAGATTGGGACACGAGATTGGGAGGATTGGGTCACAGGATTTTAGTTTAGTTTTAGTAGAGGTTTTACGGCGCTTGCAACTGCATAAGGTCATATGAGCACCAGAAGATTAGAGAAGTTACAAGAGAGTAACAAATATTAAAAAGAACAAGGGGAGATAAGGACGATAGATGTTTGATAGGAAAGAAGGAGCAAACCACACCAGAGCGCCTGCCAACCACCCACGGTCACAGGATTGGGAGAATTGGAACAGACAGACAGGAAGAGACAGACAGACAGACAGACAGACAGGCAGCGACAAACAGGCAGCGACAGACAGACAGACGAACAGAAACAGACAGACAGAGACAGACAGACAGACAACTCACCTTACACCCTCACAGGTAATCACCCCGTAGTGAACAGACAGACAGACAGACAGACAACTCACCTTACAGCCCTCACAGGTAATCACCCCGTAGTGAACAGACAGACAGACAGACAGACAGACAGACAGACAGACAGACAGACAGACAGACAGACAGACAGACAACTCACCTTACAGCCCTCACAGGTAATCACCCCGTAGTGGACACCGGAGGACTTGTCCCCACAGACTTTACAAGGGATCACCTCGATTTGAGCTGGGGACACACAAACAAACACACAAACAAACTTACTTTACTGGTAGAATTTTTGCTTTAGTATGTTTTTGGGTTTTGTTTTTTAAAATACGTAGTTTTAATTTTTGAGAAAGCGCTTTACAATGGAACACCTCGATTTGAGCAGGGGACACACAAACAAACAAACAAACAAATAAACACACTTTACTCATAGATTCTTTGCTTTCTTTTGTTTTTGTGTAGCTTTTTTTTAAAACGTAGTTTTAGTAAGAGTTTTACGTCACTTGCAACACAATAAGGTCACATAAGTGCCGAAGATTAGAGGTGTTACAAGAGAGTAACATACACAAAAAAGAAGGAGGGGAGATAAAGAAGGAACAAACCACACCCGAGCACCCGTCAACCACCCACCCACACACTTTGCATATCG